TAAGCACAGCTTTCAATATAAGATCAGTGCATCAACAGTAGTCAGACCCCATAGTAATACACTGCACAGCCTCCTCTGGTGTTAACACAGGCATGTACTTTCACATACATATGATTATAAAGATAGAAAATATAATCCTGTGATACATTTACAAGAGATAGCTCTTGCATCTTATGGAACATTATGCCAATGGTTTGGATTGTTATGGACAAATATTCTCTGAAGATATTATTTTCCATGTTGACATTGCACACACAAATGATCACCACTTGCATGAAAGCAGAATGTGCTCTCATCACTAAACATTACAGAGGACCATTTGATCTCTCAGATGACCTTTCTCATGAAACCACTGAAAACGTGCATGGTGGTACTATGGCATAAATAGAAGTCTGGCTAGAAGCACATGTGTCCACAGTCCTGCTGCAAGTATATGATGTTGACACTTTTGAGAATATTTGCTCTGATCTGCATTGTGAAAATTACCACATACAATGTTAATCTTGACAAATGTCTTTATTTGTAGAATATCTACTACGCATTAGCACGCAAATACTGTATGGTCAAAACGGCACTTTTTAAGGTTTGGTAATTTTATTTCCATCAGTGTATTTATTGATTTTTACTAAGTTTATCTTAGTATGCCAAAGCCACAAGTGTGAGACATCCAGTAAGGATTAAATCCACTATAGCAGTAATAGAGATATGATAGCTATCCATCCAGACCTGAATCTATGGCAAATATTTATCCAATATCTTCAGTGGGTAACAAAGCATAAAACTTTTACTGTGCATAGAAGCATACTCATGAATGCATGTATAAATATCTATGTCTGTCTGTTTTAGGAAGAATATGCATCATTGCTGGATTGAGATGATGTTCAAGATCACATATACATATATATATATATATATATACTGGATATTTTGGTCTTATCAGAAGCATTTTCAACAGAGATGAAAATAAAGGGTTCTGTTTGAAATTCCAATCACCTGAAGAAGGCTGAAGAGTACAACATCCAAAACGTTGTGAATATGGCAATGAAGATGAGAATAACATTTCAAATAATATAAGTAATCACAATACCTCATCTCAGAGATATATACACAATATTAATAAACAAATGAAAAGTTTTGTTATCTTGATAATGCAGTAAAAAAATTTCTCATTTGTAAGCCCTTTGCTTAACTTTAAGTTTGGAATTTCTTCTCTAAGTAGCAACTCAAATATTTTCTCATTTTATTTTCTATAACAATTCTCCAAATGTAATAAGCTCAATATGAACTGAAAGAAACTTTCCTTTCTGTTTTTTTTAATATCTACACAATATACACAACACTGTTTTCAAGTATAAAATTAAGCTTGATATAACAAATACAATAAAAAGATTTAATATATTTTTTAAACATTATTAAAGCATTAATATTGATAAGAGTTGGCATTATTTTCAAGTTCAAATTTAAAGTAATGTCCCAAATTATAACTTTATGCCTAGAAGAGAACAATTATGCTTAGGTTTTAATATTAACTCAGACATTTGAGAGATTGTGTGTTAAGGATGAAGCATGGATTTAAATTGAGATGGCTGAAAGGTTAATTTGGTATAAATGGCACATTTAGTTTTTTTTTTCAACAAACTTCATTCAAAATGCTTTCTTTTCAACTTTCATATCAACATGCATTTTTTTTCATTTATCAGAATTCATATTCTTGTTAATTGATTCCAATATTGAATCCATCATTTTAACATATGCTTTTTATTTTAATTGAAAAATGCAACTCAAAAACAAAAATGAATTTGTACAGTTTATGGAAAAGGTATTGCAGATGACTGAACATATCAAAAGTGGTTTGCAAAGTTTCATGTTGTTAATTTCTTGCTGAATGTTGCTCCACAGTTGGGTAGACCAGTCAAGAGAGACTGAAGGCAGCATCTAAAATCATCCAGAATGAGTTAAGAGAAAGTGTCTAATATTACATTAGTATAAAATTAGATCACAATTTACATTACAAATCACTAAAGCATGTCATTTGCTGTATTCACTTGTTATTGTACCATTAGATCCTCACTTATTCCAGTCTTAATTGTGTTAATGAAGAATAACTTGATTGAGAAAGGTAAAAAGTTCTGGGAAGATATGAAGTTGCCTGAAAAAATGTAGATGCTAGAGGAACAAAATTGTAATATTGTTTAATAAAGTTTAACAAAATTTGTCTTTTTATTTTTAATTATTAATCTAAGTGAACTTTTTACATTACTCAATACAATAAATTGGTATAAAAGTTCCGAGTACCATCTTTGGCATAATGTTAGGGAAATATTATTTATTCAGCCCTTAACTTTTTTTATGTATACTCATTAAAAATTGTTTGTAGAAAATTAATAAATTTATGTTGGTGAAAATCATTTTTGAATATAAAATGTATATTCAACATTGTTTATTCTTCATGTTTAAAATCTAGAAAAAAGTAAAGTGGAAACTTAGTAGTGGATCACTGAAGTTTCTAGTAATGAAGTAGTAAGTGCAAGTATGTGTTAGGAATGGTTTACCCTTTTTTTTAAAGAAAAGAAGGGGATATTTTAAGATAAAAGTACACTCTGGAAGCTAGTTTAAATGATGCATTAGAACAAAAACAATTTTACAACACTAGTTTTCAAATTGCAAATGTGACATAGCAAAAAAATTATAGAACTGGGATGAGAAGTTCTTCCTCATGCAGCATATTCTATAGACCGTCAGCCTATCACCTTTTTCACTCTAAGCAGCATTCTTTGTCTAATATTCCAAATTAATTCAAGATATCAAAAGATTCAAAATATTGATTGAATTAGAACAAAAAGCCTTTTTATGATGGACTATAAAATTTATCTAAAAGGTCATAGAAAAACATTAATGACTAAATAATGATATAAATTTATAGGATGAAAAGAGTTTGTCAAAATATACTGGAAAATTTTGCATTAACCTAATCTATATATTTATTGAACACGAAAAAAGTATATTCTAACAGAATAATACATCAAAATATAACCATAATCAATATAGTTGTTAAATTTATATTTCAAATTTAAGAACCTGGGTAATCATGGCTTACCAGATTCTTTTTATTATCTGGGAAATTCAATGACTTCTTTGGAAAGATGGCGAGGTGGTTTTCCTGTTGCTTTTTCTACAGTTTTGAATTTAGAATTTCTTTCTCCTAGACTGGCTACCATCCAAGGCTATTAACCCATAGCTAATGTGAGAAGAGGTGGATTCATGCCATTTCCAAAACAATAGTGATGATTAAAGATGAAATCACACACATGCATATTAATAATTTTCTAAAAGATATTATTTAAAATACGTTTTCCACATATTCTCCTGAAGGCAAAATCTCATTTAGATTGAGGTTCAGGTTTCATATCAAATAACTAAACTGGTAAAGATAATTAGGAATGATGATGAGGTTGAAGTAGTGATAATGACAGTTAAAGATCTAAAAGAATAGCTAACTTATAGCAGCATTTTACACAAACTAAGAAGAGGATGGTTTTCTAAGTATGGAAGGTTTTAACTCTTCTTCAATCTTTGCTTCTCTCATTTTTTTCTGTGTTTAACATCATGTGTATTGTTAGAGTTCTGTGGTTATAGCATTGAACTTTTTAGACCTAAGTAGCTAGAGATATTATCCTTACTTGCAAAGAAAATTCCATAATTCAATACTTGTGTATTTAAGTAATGTAAGTCAAGTCATATTTTTAATGAATTTATAATATTCCATATTAATTTCTGTATAAAAAAATTGAACTTTGTAGTCAAATAGTCATCTTCAGCAACTGTCTACATTATTTTTTATTATAATTAATTTGAAAAAAAATTAGTCACTTTACAAATCGAAAACATTGCTTAGAGTCGACCATTTTCAGTAAAATAAGAAATTAACTCTAAGGAAGCAAACAAGTCATAAAATAGTTTATTTCATTTTTTTTTATATATGAAATACTTATTGAAGTTTACTGCTGTACTGAGATGTAAAGGTCTTTAGTAAATGATGTAAGCATCTTTACACAACCTAAAAAAAAGGCATAAATTATAAAGCTACAAAAATAAAGGAAGAATTATTTTTTTTATTACTGATTGTTTCTTTTTGAAAAATTAAAAAAGATTATTTCAAAGAGATAACATCTTGAAATGATTTATGAAGAAATTTGAAAAAAAATCTATTAAAAACAACTTTGAAGAATGTTAACAAAAAGGGCATTTCTTTTGAATACAGAGAGAGAGAGAGAGAGAGAGAGAGAGAGAAACAGGAGAGAGAGAAGCAAAACACAGAGCTTCATGTATGCACATACATGTAGCTTGTTTGCATGAGTGATTCAATTGTAAACTTTGAAAGACTCTTTATTTCCTTATAGAAAATCCATCATCCAAGAATCAATTTGTATTTTTTGTATTACAGAACATAGGTTGATTCAGTTATGTAATAAATATCCTTTTCCTTTCCCAAAATATTCAGTGAAAACATTTGCTTTTCAGATTGAAATGTAGCCTCAGTCATAAATAAAAAAAATAAATTAATAGTAAACATGACATTCTTGAGCAAATGATGCTACAATCTTTTGAATAAAAATCTTTCTACTAGATTTTAATGTCAAATAACTTTCTGTAACAACACTTAAGTTTAAAACCTATCTCATTGAGATTTCAAAAAGAAAATTCATGCAAACTTTGCATTTGAAGAATACTTTCACCAATATTATAGATAATGTATATTGGCATGCTGGATGGTACATTGATTTTGTATAGTCTATTGACCTTTTGCAGGATTTTTAAAAGATAGAAAAAAACTTTAAATAAGAATTTTTGGGAGATAATGATTTAATGGTACAAGTCCTACTAATTAACCCATAGCTGGGGGTGGGGGAGAAGAGGTGGATTCATACCTTTCCCAAGAGTATTTGCATGTAAGTGAATATAGTAAGCTGTTATCCATTACACCACCTGCACATCCAAACTTACAGCACCTGGTATTCCCAAGTGGTCACCCATGCAAGTACTAATAAGGTTTGTTGTTGTTTAACTTCAGTGATCATATGAAAACCAGTTTCAATATATGGCCATATGCCTTGGATGGTACAAGCTTACAAATGTTCAGGATCTAATAAGAATTGAACATGCTATGCAAGCAAAGGGTCTGTGAAATTTGCTAAATGACCAACTTTCTATGGCAGTGTCAAAAATTGTTTATTAAAAAGGTCAAATATTTTAATTGAACAGTTTACTTTCAGTAGTTCTTGAAATTATCCTGCAAATCAATTCATTTCAACTAATGATCTATTGAAATTGTTGTGGTGTTATGTTTAGTAATTGCCTTTCATGGCATTTATTAGGGCAATGGGAACCACTTGACGATTGTCATTTCCTCTCCAAGCAATAAGAGATGGATTGCACTAGGTTACATGGTACCAACAGCAACCATTCTAATCTATTCTTGGGGAAGACAATGGAGTGTTTTCTTGTTGCTTCCTCCATGGTTTTGAATTTAGAGTAGTCTTTCTAGATGGATTGCTACTCAAGGCTAGATATCCCACTATACTCTGCTACTTAACACTTTAACCAAAGATCAATTCTCCACATACAAAAGCAAGCTAATTTTTGTAATTTCAACATATTGAATGAATAAAGATAAATTAAACCTAAAAATCTCCAGTCAACAGAAAGAGCATTATCTTTCAGAATGATGATACAACATCACATTCTTTAAAATAAGCCTACTATAGACATTTGTATGTTTTAGCATATGAACCCCGATCATATTGCTTAGCAGTGTAAGATTTCATTTAATTAGATCATTTGAACACTTTCTTAAATGGCAAAACCTTTAAATGGTAAAGCTGTTATTAATTCAGAAGTCATTTAATGTTTGTTACAATAAGTTTTTATTCCCTCACTTTTTGAACATCCTATACACACAAAACAACAACCTTGTTCTTCAGTTAGAAGTTGCAGTAATGGTGTTTTGGAGTTAATTCTGCACAGATGCTCCTATTATTTGAATAACAAATGTAGTAACTGAATCTATTTACTATCCTTAAAGTATTAGGAATGGAAAAAATATTTTTTTTTAACCAAGACATGCTAAATAAGAAAATTGAAGGCCAGAGTAAAAAATTAAAAATATGTAATAAGTAAATTGTAAAGAGATATGTAATAAATGAAAAGGGAAATGTTTATTCTGTTAACCCAATATCAGATCCATAACATCTGAAAATACTCAATTCCATATACAACAAATAAAATTAAGTGCTCACTGATCCATCCCTACTCTGAATTTTGTAGAGATTACATCCAGGGAATTTTATTGTAAGATTGAATTTATAATTTAAAATAAATTCAATTTTACAACTGAGTACTGTAACAAGTGGATGTAATCTCCAAAAATCAGAGTAGGGACAGGTAATTGAACATTTCATATGTACTATCTCTTCATACTTCACTGTTTGCCTTAAAAGCATTATTTTCCAGAAACACACATACACACACATACACATATATATATATATATATATATATATATTAGTAGGCACTGAAGTCAACACCAAGTGGCAACCAACAATCTGTTTCATGCTTGAACACAATCTTCAGGCCATGTGTGTTGGTAGTAGGTCAACTATTTATATATGCTAGTCATTAGAGCATTATGAGTAGCAAGGTCAGTTATTTGGGGTTTATTGTGTTATTTTAATGGTTATTGTGTAGGCAGGAAAAATTATATTTTAAATTATTCTAAAGGCTATTGAATAGAAATAATTATGGGCCAGAATGCTGTTATTTTACAGCTATTATATAAGATTGTTTGTTAACTCTTACCTCATTATTTATTATTAATTACTTTAGGGTGTTTTGTATTTATCTATTGCTACTTATTTACCCCCACCCCCAAATCAAAGAACCTAGTGATATTGAACTATTTCAAGAAATTTAAATTTCTCAATGGTAATCCAAAAATGCAATATCTGGTAAATGAGTATGTGGAAACTTTCCAGACAAAATGTATTAATTTGTATATGGTCACATAAGAAAAAAAAATGTACTTCAGCATTGATGGAATATTATACCCTTTTAATTACCGTATTTGATGATGTATAAGATGCACCCCAATTTCAGTAGGGCAAATCAAGAAAAAATTAGTAATTAGTAAAATTAATAGTAAATGGTACAGCCTAGGCTATATTTATGAGGTATTATTTTGGTTAAACAAGCCATGATTACAATTAAATGAAATATAATAGGAAAAAAAACACAAGCCTATAAAAACTTTATTATATCCTTTATATGATCTGTACAACCTGCATCTTGTTAACGTCTTGTTGGAATAATTAGGATATAAAAATTTTGATTGTATTTATACCAATGCAACCAAAAGTTATCACAAGAAAAATATTACTGAAACAAATATATTTTACAAATATATAATTTGAATTTATTGCATATAATTTTAGCGAAACAAAGTAATAATATTAAATGTGATGAAATTAATATAATGAATATTATCAATAACACTTTTAAACTGTATAATAGCCTTTTAAATAAAGACAATAGGTATATGAAAGTTACTCTAAAGTCTAAGCTAATAGGAGTTGCCAGGTAGTTAACTTTGGTAGACTATTGCAAATTTTAAACCTACATATGGCATATAAGATGCAGGGGAATTTTAAAAGATATTTTTAGTAAAAAAAAAAGAGTGCACCTTATATGCCATCAAATACGGTAATTCTGGTTAATTGCTGGTTTAATTGGTAATAGTGTAAGCTGGTCCCTCCTAAATCCCATGATATATACAGTAACACTTTCTTTGAATTAAAACTAGCCTTTAGTATAGTTAGTGGGAAGTCAATTATGATTGAACCATGATATCTTATAAAGTATCTTGTTATAAAATATCCACTGTTTTGTTTCAAAAATGGAATATGTGGAAACCAAACATCATAGCAACTAATATAATCAAGGTGATGCAAATGATTTTTCAACATTTGATTTGGATATTCTGAATTTTTCATATATTGATAGTGATCAAATGAGAATAATCAATCTCAAATGGTCTGCTTATTGTCTAGTGAGAAATCTCTAACAGAAAACTTTACAAGCCACTTAATGCATCTGATCATTCATGGTACATTCTCTATAAACTGCACTCATTTGCATTTGAGTTACATTTTTGCCTAGCTCTTAGATTAAAAAAAAAATTTAAAAAAAACAAATATACAGAAAAAAAAATTGCTACACATTTTCTTCCATCTTCAGTAAAAAAATAAATAAGAAATACCAATTCTTAAAAATTAAAAAAAATACAGTTACCAATACAAAGTAATCTTTTTGAATGAAAGTAAATTCTTCTAGTGCCATCTAGTGAATAAAAAAACAAAAAACAAAACCAGATGGAACTTTTGGTCAAATCAATATATTATTAAATATTTGTTTAACCACAATTAATGATCTTTGGTGAAAGAAACTTCATTGTAGATTTCTATGATTGATTTGTCTATGCAATTCTGTACCTTTCATTTTCTTTACCAACAATTACCCATCATTGTTTCTATGTTAATTCTTCTGGATTAAAATAAAAAAAAAAATAATAGGAGTTTACTTTTTTATCCTCTTTTGCTATTTTCATCTGAAAAGTAAGCAATCTCCGCCTATTTAAAAACCATTCAGGATGTTTGTCTTTGGGAACAGCATTCATCCTTAAAATTGGGTGGTTATCAATAGGTTCACACAATGAAATCAATGTCAGATATTAGGTAGGGGATCCAGATCAAGAGAGAAGCTGCAAATATTATGCACCTTAATAAATTTTCACTTAAATGCAACATATATATGTTGGTCCCGGTAGTGTTTGTGTGTGTGTGTGTATAGGATGCAATGGATAAATTGGCATCTAAATTATGCAAAAATTAAAATAACACTGACATCTCATTTTAACAGATATATTAAGCAAAATTACACAAAAAATATCTTGAAATACTAAAGAAAAAATTTATTGAATAAAACTGCCATTGACTTCAGCCATAGCCTCTAGATGACTTCAGAATCTCCTGCAACTCTTCCAGATGGTCTTATTTAAGTTGGTGAACACTGCCATAATCCTTGCATTCAATTCATCTTTGGTATTACAAGGAGATTTGTTGGTCTCTCACTCTACTGTGCCCCACACATAATAATCAAGGGGGTTGAAGTCTGGGGAATTAAGTGGCCAGATGTAAGGAGTGATAGGGTCGCAGAAATTGTCTAACAGTCATGACTGGGTTCTCCTGCTTGTGTGGCATGGTGCAGAGTCCTGTTACCAGACATAGGGTCTCCCAGCAGCCATCATCTTGGCCCAGGGTAGCACTACCTCTTCAAGGCACTTGATGTAGGCCTCTGTGTTGAGTCTGAAGCCCTCACCATTCTTTTCTTAGAATGATCAGAGTGACCATTAGACTCATCCAACTCTTTCTGAATCCTCTGCATTGTCCTCAAATTGACACCCAAACACTCTGAAATGTTTGTATTGGAGCTTCCAGTGCAAATTCCAAGCAGTACAGCATGCTATTTCCAAATTTCTGGCAGAGTGAATTGCGTCAAGATGCTCTTTTTCTCACAGACAGTGCCCAACTGACCCTACTATACTGTGCAGTTGACAAAAATCAAAAACAAACAACACACATGCATAAAATTAAGAATATAAAATGATGATAATTTACCCATTGCTCCCTGTATTATAAAAAATAGTTAATTTTTTTTTCTTTACTTATAACTGTATGAAATGTATCAATTTTTAATATTCTCCTGTATCTACTTACTGTGAAGATTGTTTTCATTTATATTGGAGGCACATCTGGCCTAAGAGTTAACACAAAAAATAAAATTGGGAAACCATGGAAACTGGCCTTAACAGATTGCATTCACTGCTGCATTTGAGGAAAGTGGATGAATTCATTTCTTTGCACTTTTAGTTTTGGGTAAATCCCAAAACTAAAAGTGCAAAGAAATGACTGTTTTAACCTTGCAAAAGTGCAGCCCATCTTGAGTTTGACAATAGTTTAGGTCAGATTATTCCTTCTAC